GGCTCGCGCCCCGCTGACGCCCGGCGCCGTCGCTCTCGAGGTCACCATCTCGACCACCGACCGGAGGAACAACAAGCTGATCTTCAAGGTGAACCTGGTGGAGATGGAGAGCAAGATCCTGGTGGACTTCCGCCTCTCCAAGGTGAGGCCCGGGCTGGTGCACGGCGGTGCAAGGCCAGCGCAGGGCAGCGCGAAGGGGTGCAGGGCGGGTGCAGGGCATTGCCAGGCGGTGCAAGGTGGGGACAGGGTGGTGCAAAGCAGTCGCAAGTCGGCGTAAGATGTTGCAACGTGGCGCAAGGTGGGTGCAACGTAGCGCAAGGTGACGCAAGGGGGTGCAGGATACGCAAGGTGATACGAGAGATTGCAAGACGGTGCAAGGTGGGCACAGGGGGTGCAACACGGCGCAAGGTGCATGCGAGGCAGTGCAGCATGGTGCAAAGTGCATGCAGGACCTTGCGAGACGGTGCAAGGTTGGTGCACAGTGCAGTGAGGTGGTACAAAATATCCTGCAAGACGGTGCAACGTGGTGCAAAGCGGGTGCAAGTTGATATGAGAGACTGCAAGGCGGTGCAGGTCAGGCACGGAAGGGGGTGCAACACAGCGCAAAGTGCGCTCAAGGCGGTGCAACATGGTGCAGGGTGGGTGCGACATGGGGCAAGGCGATGCAAGGGGGTACAAAATATCCTGCAAGGCAGTGCAACTTGGTGCAAAGTGGGTGCAACATGGTGCAAAGCAGTTGCAAGATGATACAAGAGATTGCAAGACGGTGCAAGGCGGGCACGGGGAGGGGTGCAACACGGCACAAGGTGCATGCAAGGTGGTGCAACATGGTGCAGGGTGGGTGCGACATGGGGCAAAGTGATGCAAGGGGGTACCAGATACACTGCAAAGTGGTGCGACGTGATGCAAGGTGCATGCAGGACCTTGTAAGACGGTGCAAGGTCGGTGCAAGGCAAAGCAAGGTGGTACAAAATACCCTGCAAAGTGGGTGCAACGTGGTGCAAAGCAGTTGCAAGGTGATACGAGGGACTGCAAGGCGGTGCAAGGCGGGCACGGAGAGGGGTGCAACATGGTGCAAGGTGCATGCGAGGCGGTGCAGGGTGGGTGCGGCATGGGGCAAGGCGATGCAAGGTGGTACAAGATATACTGTGAGGCAGTGCAGCATGGTGCAAAGCGGGTGCAATGTGGTGCAAAGCAGTTGCAAGGTGATACGAGAGATTGCAAGGCGGTGCAAAGCAGGCACGGGGGGGTGCAACACGGCGCAAGGTGCATGCGAGGCAGTGCAGCATGGTGCAAGGTGCATGCAGGACCTTGCGAGGCAGTGCAAGGTCGGTGCAAGGCGAAGCAAGGTGGTACAAAATATCCTGCAAGACGGTGCAACGTGGTGCAAAGCGGGTGCAACGTGGTGCAAAGCAGTTGCAAGGTGATACGAGGGACTGCAAGGCGGTGCAAGGCGGGCACGGCGGCGGGGGTTGCAGCAGGGTGCGAGGCGCGTGCAAGACCTTGCAACGCGGTGCACGGTGGGTGCAACGGCCGGGGGGTGGGGGCCAGGCGCCGGCTCCCCGAAACGCCCTCCCTCTCGCTCCCGCGCAG